TGCATTTATTGAATAATCCTTGGATTTTTGGTATAAAAGTAACTTTAGCAGCTGGGCGCCAGTGGCTCACACTTGTAATCCTAGCTACTCAGGAGGCTGAGATCTGAAGATCAAGGTTCAAAGCCAACCTGGCAGGAAAGTCCGTGAGACTCTAATCTCCAATTAACCACCAAAAAACCAGAAGTAGCACTGTGGCTCAAGTGGTAAAGCACTCACCTTGAACTGAAGAGCTGAGGGACAGCACTCAGGCCCAGAGTTCAAGCCTCATGACCGACAAAAAGTAACTTTAGCACAGTGAATGATCTTTCTGATATTGTACCATATTCTATATTCTAGCATTTTCTTGAAATTTTAGATGTATGTTAATTTGAGATTTTTGATTGTAATTTTATTTTTTGGTAATGGTTGCCCGAGCTGCTCCTGCTGCTGCTGTTGAATTCAGTTCTGATTTTGAATAACAGGATATTAGAGAATGAGTTCAGAAGAGTTATATCTCATTAAACTCTTTGGAATAAACAAATGACATTAATTGTTAAAGATTTGGTGAAATATAACAATGAATATATCTGGTTCTGAGGTTGTCATTGTTGGAGGAGATCAATTTTTGATTCAATTTTTTTATTATTTTTTATATAGTCTACGTAGGCTATTATACACCCAGAAATTGGTTTAAATATTTTAGGACACAAAGTGCCCACTTTTCAACATTTCAGGATTATTGAATTGGAGCACATTGATGGATACAAAATGAATGTGAAAGGTGGATACCATCTTGACAGTGTCAATAACAATTTTTGATTTCATATATAGTTCTTTTTTTTTTTTTTGGGTCCGGTCATGGGGCCTGAACTCTGGGCCTGGGCACTGTCCCTCAGTTCTTCAGCTCAAGGCTAGCGCTCTACCACTTGAGCCACAGTGCCCACTTTCGGCTTTTTTCTTTTTGCTTATGTGGTACTGAGGAATCGAACCCAGGGCCTTGAGCATGCAAGGCAAGCGCTCTACCACCGAGCCACCTTCCCAGCCCTTCATATATAGTTCTGTACTCTGTTTTTATCACTGTCTTGTAAAGATGACTCATATCCTTACAAATTTTCCATGAAAAATATTTGAAAAGACTGTAACATCTGTTCATGAGGTTAGCCACATGTCTTCTCATAGGGATCTCTTGGATATGTCTTTCTTTTGTGCCAAAATATAAAGCAGATGATCTGCCAAATCTTCTAGCTACTTGGAAACACTGGATAAAACAGTAAATATCAAATTCTCTTCAAATTTTTTTGTGTTTCCACCTGCACTAAAGGCTCAACCTAATCTTCATCTTTATTACAATAACAGCAAAATCTCTTGAGCCAGACTATCTGGGTTAGAATCCTGGTTGTACCTCTTACTAGCTGGGGTATAAACATAGAACCTGTACAAACACATAACCTCTTTCTATGTTTGATTTCCAATCTGTATTTAAATATTTAATTTATTTTTTAATTTTTGTTATCTTTAAGTAGTTGTACAGAGGACTTTCCATTTAACAAAGCAGTACATGGATATATCTTGGTGAGTGCCACCTTATCCAACATTCTCACTCATTTCTCCCTTACCCCTCCCTCATTCTTCTTAAGTTTGTAGGATAGGCACTGGATTCTTGACTGATTCTCCCCCCTCTTCTCATGTTCATTTGTTTACCCATTTCCCCTTGGCCCCTCTCTGCACTTTTCAAGTATCTGTTTCCTGGAGTTTGATTTTCCTGAACTAAAACAAAAACCAAAAATAACCAACAATAACATTTTGTACTGTTGTGATATTAGAAATAGCTCCAATGTTGGAGTGCCACATAGGGTAAGGACAACTCAAAAGGAACTCAGGAAGGCAAAGTTTACTTCTGCAAAAGGGTACACCATGGATTAAAAATCTGGCAAGCAACCACACACAGCAGGCAGGCTATACCCTTTTTGTCCCTAACCTAGCAGGCCCTGCCCCTCTGCTCACATTGGCTGAGCAGAGAGAGACTCACAAGATGCAAAAAGATGTGGCTCAATGAACAGGGTATAATTAAAATCTAAGGAGCTTCTAACAGGATGTCTTAATTAAAATGTTCAGAAAAAGGATGTATGGAACTAAAATGTAATTAACAAGGGCCAAGGCACCTGGCTAAAGCAGGAACCTTTTAGAAAAAAAGCGTTCTCTCAAGATTAGCAGAAAGAAAGCAAACTACTAGCAGTGAGAGGAACACATCAAGTTATTTGCTCAGTGTGCTGAACAGACTTTTTCATTATGAACCGAAGTATAAAGAAGAGATCAGGATTCAGGAAGGGAAATAAATGGTTACAACCAGAAACCAAAGCCAGACTGCTACCATAGACCTTTGCAGTAAGGCCATTTGTGCTGAAGATTTGGCAGATCTGAAGATTCAGCAGATCATCTGTTTTATATTTTGGTATAAAAGGAAGTAGTGTGTGCTGACTTCTGTGGGGGCAAGAGTCGAAGTCCAAGAGTCCCTGTTATGGATACTGTAGAAGTTAATATCGGGGCATCAACTCATTATTTCTACCAGTTATTCATTCTTTAAACACATATTGGATGACAGAAAGTAACCTTCAAACAAGGGTAAAGTGGAGAAAGACTGTGATAAAATACTTCCATGCCCCTTTACCCTTCAGTTTTTACGTGAATAGAGATACCACGAGGGTAAAAAACAATTCTGCAACATGGGTTGTGTAATGTTAGGTGATTCAAAGGTAAAACAAAGGGACACTGACAAAAGTATTTGACTAGGTGAGAGTTCAGGTTGGGAACAAGCTCATAACGTTTGGGAAAGTCTGGCTTCAAAGGAACTCCTCCTATAATCACCTTTTCCCTTCTAAGCTCTGCATTTGGCATATTGGATTTGACCCTGGAGAGATAATCATGAACGAAATGAGAGTTAAGAACTTGGAGATTGACTATGTCCCCTCTCCTTGCTCCACATGACTGTGTCGGTCACCATTCTTTTATCTATACACTTCACCTTGGTGACTTCTATTCATCTCTTAAGATGTCATTATTCTATTCTATTCTATTTTTTAAATTTACTTTTATTGTCAAGTTGATGTATGGAGGGGTTACAGTTACATACATAAGGTAGTGAGTACATTTCTTGTTGAACTTGTTACCCCTCCCTCATTTTTCTCCAAATTTTCCCTCTCCTCACCCCCTCAAGTTGTACAGTTCACTTCCAACATATTGTCTTGTGAGTATCACTGTTGCATTGGTTCACTTTTTGTCCTTTGTCTCACTATTATGTTGTTTCCCTTCCTTTCCCTAATTCGGATACATGTATATCAATACTGAGGATACAAAGTACTTTTCCTTTCCTGGCCTATATTTTATTCTTTCAGTGCAGCCTTAATGTAGTTTACTTTCCACCTGATTTCATTGTCAATCTTTACTCATCAAACTTGTTAAGTGAAGAAATAATTATAACATGATTTAAAGAAGGAACAACCCTATGAAGTATTTTGGAAAGAGATTTTATTATAACACCCCACAGAAAATGCCATTGAGAGAATAAGTTGCTTCCTACCTGTGAAGTAAGGTGGAACAAACAGCCTGAGCCTCATGAATCCAAGTCTAGGGTTCCATCTACCAGCACAATCACTCTGGGTCTTAACTGGAGAGTGGATAGAACAGACTCCAAGAAAAATTACAGGCTGGCTGAGAAGGTGGCTCAGTGGTAGAGCGCTTGCCTTGCATGCATGAGGCCCTGGGTTCGATTCCTCAGCACCACATAAGAAAAAAGCCAGAAGTGGTGCTGTGGCTCAAGTGGTAGAGCGCTAGCCTTGAGCTGAAGAGCTGAGGAACAGCGCCCAGGCCCAGAGTTCAGACCCCATGACCGGACTCAAAAAAAAAACAACAACAAAAATTGCAGGGCTAGGAAGGTGGCTCAGTGGTAGAGTGCTTGCCTCACATCCGTGAGCCCTGGGGTTCGATTTCTCAGCACCACATAAACAGAAAAAGCCAGAAGTGGCACTGGGGCTCAAATGGAAGAGTGCTAGCCTTGAGCTGAAGAGCTGAGGACAGTGCCCAGGCCCAGAGTTTAAGCCCCACGATTGACAATAAAAAAAAAAAAAAGGGAAAAGAAAAAGAAAAATTGCAAAGGCAACTGGAGCAGGAAGTTTTGGAATCCAATAGAAAAGGGATTCTAATCCATCCTTGGAAATCTAATTGGTTATCTTCCTTTGAACACATCTCTACCTGTTTGTACTTAGTTTATCATCACTAAATTGGAATAATAAGATAAGTTGCCACAACTCTAGAACATTTGATAATGTAGACAAAGAACTTTTAAAATCCAATCCATGTCTATATTCCCTGCATTGTAACTTATTATATTGCCTAATACATATTTAATGGTTGCAAAAATACATTGAGTACTTTTGAGAGGGGAAGATTTTCTTTCATTGATTCTCAAAACAAATACTTCAGTTTAATCAATTCTAGACATTAAAGTCCAATTTGTTCTCTCACTCTTTCTTTTTCCAACCCTGGAAGGAACAAGGGAGGGGTAGCCTGGACTGGAGATGAGGCTTAAGTGGTAGAGTAGAGCACCAGCCGTGAGTGAGAAAGCTGAGCAAAAGCACAAGGCACTGAGTTCAAGCTTCAGTATAAATATTATATTTGTATAATAAATATTATATAATATATAAATAAATAAATATTATATAATAAATAAATATATAATAGATAAATATTGTATGATTCTCCTTATTAGTAGTAGAATAGAAAAATTCAGAGAGCTAGTAATAGCTTATAGAAAACAGATTAAAAATTACCATGGGGGATACAGTAAAGCCATTAGTACAATCATGTACTTTGCAGCATTATTCACTGTAGCCAAGGTAAGAAATCAGCCCAGATGCTTCTCAAGGATGAATGGATCAAGATAATGTGGTGGGCTGGGTGCTGGTGGCTCACACCTGTAATCCTAACTACTCAGGAGGCTGAGATCTGAGGATCGCTATTCAAAGCCAGTCTGGGCAGGAAAGTCAATGAGACTCTTAGCTCCAATAAACCATTCAGAAAACCAGAAGTGGCACTGTGGCTCAAGTGGTAGAGATCTATCCCTGAGCTGAAGAACTGAGGGACAGCGCCCAGGTTCAGAATTCAAACCCCATGACTGACAAAAAAGAAGGAAAGAAAGAAAGAGAGAAAGAAAGAAAGAAAGAAAGAAAGAAAGAAAGAAAGAAAGAAAGAAAGAAAGAAAGAAAGAAAGAAAGAAAGAAAGAAAGAAAGAAAGGAAGGAAGGAAGGAAGGAAGGAAGGAAGGAAGGAAGGAAGGAAGGAAGAAAGAAAGAAAATGGTATATTTTCTTTTTTACTGCTTTTGTTTTCTTTTCTTTTTGTTCACATATATGTCTTTGGGATTGTAAATGGAAGCACAAAAATGGTATTCACTATATGCTGTTGAAAATGAATTATACAACTTGTAGGTAGTTTTTCCCTGACATATAACTGTAACTATTAGGTCTGCCTGGAGAAATGGCCCCTTCCCTTGGTTCTCTCCCAAGCATCCTAGAAGTTCCCACTCAGCACCTGTAACCCAGGCAACTGGCATGCCTGGGGCAGTGGGAGTCCTCTTGGGCTCTGATTTCCCCATCCTCTGAGGTCACCTGTGTGTCCTATGTGACCATACACCCCTCTCTCCACCTTCCCCTATATAATCTTTCTCCTCCTTCCATAAACTCTCTTGCCTTGCATGCCTCCATCTTGAGTGGGCGGCAGTTTCTCTGTCTCTGTCTCTGTCTCTGTCTCTCTCTCTCAATAAACCTCTTCTGCTTGAACTGGGTGTGAGTTTCCTTTGGGCAACCCTTACAGTAACTTCTCTGTATATCACCTGTAAAATAACAAAAAAAAATTTTTTTTAAGAAAACGTGGTATATTACTCATCCATGAGAAATAATATTGTATCATTTGTAAAGAAATGAAAAGACCTGACAAAAGTTATGGTAAATGAAATAAATCAGAATTAGAGAAACAAAGGCTGTAGTTTTCCTTATATCTGGAAGCTAGAATAAGCTTCTAAACTTGCAAGCAAATGCATTAGGCGTATGCGAATGTATTAACAGAAATAGGGTAGATTCCGGGAAAAACTAAATAATGTAATTCCTTAGGAAAGCAAAGTCAAACTTCAACAAAATAAACACTAGGAAGTGGGTCCTTGAAAAGGGTGGAGTGGAGTCAAGGGTAAATGAGGGTAGATGAATGAAAAGAAGAAAAGCAGGGAAGTGGCGCTGTGGCTCAAGTGGTAGAACACTAGCCTTGAGCTGAAGAGCTGAGGGACAGCGCTCAGGCCAAGTTCAGGCCCCACAACCAACCAAAAAAAAAAAGAAGAAGAAAAGGGGAAGAATGCAGTCAAGAATTCTATGTATATCCTACAAAATTAAAAAGAGTGTGTGAAAGGGTATGTTGAAGAGGGGTGGGTGAGAATGTTAAGGGGTGACATTGCTCAAGATGCACTGTATTTATAAGCTGCTTTGTTAACTAGCAACTTCTGTGTATAACTACTTAAAGATAATTTTTAAACCTTAAAAAATAGATCTAAAAAGAAAAAACTTACCAGGGACTAGAGGAAGGGAGAAGGGGGATGATTATTACCTAATGGAATAAAGTTTTGATTGAAGAAAAAAAATATTGAGGGGGCAAAAAAAGTGATAATAGTTATAAAACATTGTACTTGTAATTAATGCATCAACTACATAGGAAAATTTGCTTAAATTGCTAATGTATTTCACTATCTTTTTTAAGAGCAAGGGTATAAATTATATGGCACTCACATTATATCTGAATAAAAATATTTATATAAAAAGTCTCCTTGGTTGATATTCAGCCTTTATGCAGGTTTAAAAGAGAACAATGTATGCAAATTTTCACCACTATGAAACTTACTTCCAAAAAACATAAACCAAGCTGGATATTGGTGGCTCATGCCTGTACTCCTAGCTAATCAGGAGGCTGAGATCTGAGGATCATGGTTCAAAGCTAGCCTGGGCAGGAAATTCTCTGTGAGACTTTCATCTCAATAAACCACCAGAAAACCGGAAGTTGTGCTGTGGCTCAAATGATAAACTGCTAGCCTTAAGCTGAAGAGCTGAGGGACAGCACCCAGGTTCAGAGTTCAAACTCCACAACCAACAAAACAAACAAGCGAACAAAACAACCAGAAAGCAGGAAGCTCCTGGAGTGATCACACACAGGAGTATTTGTTTCAAGCTTTTAGTTGGTTTTCCACAGCCTCACCTCTACTTTTCTTTACCTTAAACTGAGACAAGAAAGTTCCCGGAATTAAACATTAATTCACTCTTAAACAATAACATTCATATGCATCTATACATAATCAGAAAAACTGCATGGAGGGCTGGGAAGGTGGCTCAGTGGTAGAGCGCTCGCCTTGCATGCCTGAGGCCCTGGGTTCGATTCCTCAGCACCACATAAGCAAAATGAAAAAAGCCAGAAGTGACGCTATGGCTCAAGTGGTAGAGCGCTAGCCTTGAGCTGAAGAGCTAAGGGACTGCACCCAGGCCCAGAGTTCAGGCCCCACGACTGGACCCAAAAAAAAAAAAAAAAGAAAAACTGCATGGAGTAAACCCTGTGAACACTTAACAAAATGAATGCATGTCTGGAAGCTGAAACTATTTGAATAGGAAAAGGGTTAGTGGGAAGAGGTATGAATGGAAAAGAGGACAAATATAATCATAATCCTCAATGGACATATGTGTAAAAGGAAGTAGGAAACTCAATATGATTTAGGGGGCAGGGGTAAGAAAGATGAGGGGAAACAAGGAAGGGGTGACTGTGCCCATGAATGGACACATTAAATGGTAACCCCCTGGTACAAGCATTTGAAAATTAAATTAAAAAATTAACAGCAGAAAAGAAACATGGCACCTCAAACTAAACCTGATCTGTTCAAGACAGAGATCCAACCATGCCAGGGTTTTACTCATTCCCTTCCTGCTTCACACACCAAATGACTTGGTGTTGGTGGGATGTCATCAATAGGTGCACACCTCTGCTCCGTGCCATGAGAAGTATTAGCACACAAGGCCTCCTTACAATCTTTCAAGATTCTTAGTTGAGCTGTCTCTATGCTGAAAGGATGGGAAAGATTTTTTTGCTAATAAATCTTGATGATGCAAAGCACAACTTTTTAAAGAGTTAATTCTCTGCATATAGTTTATACTCTTCATGTAGCTTTCTTATAAGCCTTACTCATACCCTTCCAAGTTCTCAATGAATGACACTTGAAAAGACCAGGACTTCTATCTAGCCATATAGTTTTGCATGCTCCTCTTACAAGAGCTTCCCTAAATATGGAGGCCTGCATTTGTGCCAATTTGTGGAGTAGATATTCTGTCACATCTTCCTACTACTTGGAAACAATGGATGAAACATAGCAAATAGGAAATGCTTTCTGGATATTTTGAGGGCCATGGTAGTGACCAGCTATTCAACTTAATCTTTATCTCCTCTACATTAACAGTTAATAGCAAAGTTTTGGAAACAGGTTGTGTGGATTCGAATCTGGCTGTACCACTTAACTGGGTGATCTTAGGCAAGCACCAAATTTCTTTCTACCTTAGATTTTCCAATCTATGTTATGAGATTTAAAAAAATTCTCAGGGTTAGGAAGGTGGCTCAGTGGTAGAGTGCTTGCCTTGCATGCATGAGGCCCTGGGTTTGATTCCTCAGCACCACATAAGCAGAAAAAGCCAGAAGTGGTGCTATGGCTAAAGTAGTAGAGCACTAACCTTGAGCTGAATTGCTGAGGACAGCACCTACGCCCAGAGTTCAAGTCCCACGACTAACAAAAAAGAAAAAAAAACTTTCATGTCATAGGTTGTGCAGGCAAGAATGTGAAATCTTTATTTGCTCCTCTGAGCATAGTTACATGCACACTACTATACTATTACAACATTGTGAGCTCAACTCTTAAAGAACTCAAGTTTCAGAGAGAGAAGCCATAAAAAGGAATCCAGAGCTCTTTGACCCTTGTACTGAAGGAAAACCTGGTACAGATCCAAACAGGGCAAGAGTCAAAGTCCCAGATAGGGGAGAAATACCAAGAAGAGCTAGAAAAAAGAAAACTGCGGGCAAGTTTAGTGGAATAGTGTGTAAATAGTTACATTTACCGTTGCTCTAGATTTTGCCATGACCTAGAATTTATGAGAAAGGAGGAAAAAAGAACTCTGAAAGTTATCCCCATGTAACTCAGTATAATTAGCTGCTGAGAGTGTTTATTTGTAGTGCAATAGGGAAAAGTTTTTATCTCACCCTGGACTCTCAGTAACTGTTTTCCTTTCATGAGCATACTTTTACCTCTCTGTCTTCAGTTTCTTGTCAATAAAATAAGGATATAGTAACAGTCATTCGTATTGAACAATTGGGGAGCTAGATTGTGAATTCTTTTAATGTTAGAGTTCATGTCTGTTTTCCTTACTGACATGCACACCACCTAGTCTTCCTGGAACAAAGTAAGTACTCAGTGGAATGTCATCAGCAAGAATGCTAGTTTCTCTCCACAAACAAGGATAAATCCAAAGAACATTAATTATTATTCTACTGGAATAGCCTTTGAGGGAGAGCACTGGCATGTAACAGTCAATAGAAACTACACAGAGCCAAGAAACCCAAATGCACTTCTTTATAAAGAAGAAAATGGAGTATATCTAGCATCACATCTCCTAAATGAGATCAAACTTAAACTTCACACAATAGAAAATAAATAAGTTGGAGGATCCCAGTAGTCCCCACTAAACTTGCAAAAAACGGAAGTATTTGTAACTAAAGAAACCTGCAGCCCTTAGAGATTGTGAGCCCAATTTGCAGAACTGCCAGAGAATCTATACTGCTACATTACCCCAGAGAAAGCACAGTCCATGCTGTATCCTCCACTGCCCAAAAGTCTATGGTACAGCTCCATTGTAGGGCTTTCCTCCCATGCATACCAGTCTGTCAACCCCACTCAACTTTCTAAGGTACCAGGAAGCAGTCACATGGCTTTCTGTAAGCATCTCAGCCCACCAAGTCCACAGGAAGCAGTTGAGGGCCCTTCCCTCCCACCAATATGCCTGGGAAGCAACTGGGTAGTCCACACTCAAAGGCTATTCTCTCAAAGGTGATTCCAGTGGAGTGATAATTAATGTTCTTTGGATTGATCCTTGTTTGTGGAGAGGAGCCCGTGGCCTTGCTGATAACATTCCACTGAGTACTTTCTGTGTTCCAGGAAGTTTAGATGGCGTGCATGTCAGCAAGGAAAACAGACATGAACTATGTCTGCATCTATGCTCCTATATGGTCCTCAGACACTAAGGGAGGAGCTCTAGGCATGCCGTATTCTGACTACCCACACCTACTGAAAGGACACAGACCACACACAGCCCTGATACATGAATAGACACACTACTTTCACTGCTGGGCACAAAGCTTGCAACTTCCTGGGTTCAACAGTATCCTTGGCTACTCAAAGCCCTTAGAAACTGACCAGTACTCTACTTCCATTGTTGTGCCAGCCCTGCCTTACCTTAATGGAATTTATGGAAACTAATAGATGTCCCCCACATAGAGCCAATATGCATTATGCTCGTAACTATGAGAGAATCTGTCTTCTTAAGGCACTGCATTCAACTGTAAGGTAAAGCCCACAGACCCCCTACAGTTTATACTACTGAAACACCATGGGCATAAAGTCTGTATTACTGTGTCCACCTAGAACTGAAGCCAGTATAGCCTACCCAAGGGTGGGAAATGGCAGATTCCTCAGGTAATGACACTGGAGAGCCTTGTGAAATCAATTTCAACACTGTTAGCAGAAACAAGAGGAAAAGAAAATTTACTAGGTAGAAGGATGTTTGAATTCCCACAGCTACAGTATGAGAAGAAGAAAGCAACCCAGAAATCTTCAGGATAAATGGGTTAAAAATTGGTAGAGAGACGGGGCTGGGAAAGTGGCTCAGTGGTAGAGCGCTTGCCTTGCATGCATGAGGCCCTGGGTTCGATTCCTCAGCACCACATAAGCAAAAAGAAAAAAACCGGAAGTAGCACTGTGGCTCAAGTGGTAGAGCACTTGCCTTGAGCTGAAGAGCTGAGGGACAGCGCCCAGGCCCAGAGTTCAGGCCCCACGACCAGACCCCCCCCCAAAAAAAAATATGGTGGAGAGATGCTTAACCATGAATGGAAACCCAGTTAGCTCCAGAAAATCAAATATCACTGGGGTTTGGAAGGCAGACCAGTAGTCTATGTTGCTAGAAAGGTACAACATGGTCCCTCCTGACTCTAAGACAACTTCATCAGAAGACCCTACAATCAGAAAGAAAATAAACAGTATCAAAGAAAACTGAGTCCATATTATCTATTGCCCCAGAGAGAAAGCATGGATTTATCTAAAGTAATAGAAATAATAGATTCCCAAACATCTGACAAAGACCTAATATCTAAAATATAAAAGCAGCTCAGGAAACTAACCCCTCCCTAAGCTAATAAACCAATCATTAAATGCGAAAAGAACCCAAAGAGAGCCTTCTCAGAAAGAGAGGTAAGAATGTCAAAGAAGCATATAAGAAAATGCTCAACATCCTGGCCATAAAGAAAATGCAAATCAAAACAACTATAAGATTCCATCTTATCTCAGTTTGATTGGTCAATATCATGAATTCAAACAACAGCAAATGTTGGTGGGGATGTGGGAATAAAGGAGTCCTATTGTACTGTTGGTGGGAAGGTAAATTAGTACAACTACTCTACACGGCATTCTCTAGGTTCCTTGAAAAACAAACAAACAAAAAACTAAACATATATCTTCCATATGGCCCAGCCAGGATACATTAAAGACACTTACTGACCAATGTTCAGTGGTGCACTAGTCACAATAGTCAAGTTATAGAAACATTTCTGATGCCATGCAATAGATGAGTAGATCAAAATAATTATGATACTTATACACAGTGGAATTTTACATGGTTATTAGAAAAGATAACATTATCTCATTTTCAAGGAAATGGATTGACCTAGAACAAGTCATGTTAAATGAGGTAAGCCGAGTTCAGACAGACAAAAGGCATATGTTTTCTCTCATATGTGGAAGCTAGACCTAATAGACCAGGAACATGATAAAATACAGGATTCTAGACATTCACACATAGTGAGACCAAAGGAGGATGTTCCTAGGAGAATACAAAGGCCCAATGTCTATAATCCTCTGATCATATATAATAATAGATATCAAAATGAACTCCAGGAAATGGAAATAAGAGGATTTTTTCTTTATTGTTTTTGTTTTCTTTTTTTGTAATGTCTTGTTTATTCATTTATCTATCTTGAGGAGTATAAGGAGGACCACAGAAATGGAGGGAAAAAGGGTAAACAAATGCACCAATGGCACTCATTGGACACAATTGTGAAAATGAACTATACAACTTGTGGGTTGAGATGGGAGGAAAAAACTGGGAGAAAGTGAAGAAAGGGATGACATTATCCAAAAAGAAATGTAATTTTTAAACCTAACGTATGCAACTATAACCCCTCTGCACATCATCTTTATAAGAACAATTAAAAAATTTTAAAGTAATATTTATCAAAATGAGCTCCAGGAAATGGAAACAAGAGATTTTTTCTTTGTTGTTTTTGTTTCCTTTCCCTTTTCTCTTGTTTCCTCCTATTTGGAGGAATGGCGGGGGGGGGGGGGGACAGAAATGGAGGGACAAAAGGGAAAAATGCAGCAATGGTACTCACTAGACACTTGGTTGAAAATGAACTATACAACTTGTGAGTGGGACAGTAAGGAAAAACTGGGCAAGAGTGAAATAAAGGGTGACGCAGTCCAAAAAGAAATATACTTATTATCCGACTTATAAAACTGTAACCCCTCAGAACATTACCTCTATAATAACAATAAAATACTAAAATTAAAAACAATAAACTGTCACATGGTTGAACTCTTACCTAGTGCCAGGGGAACAATGAAATATTTGTCATGTACCATAAAAGAGTTACCATGCCAATAGCTTTGGAGGACAAGCGTGGAAATTAAATTTGCATTGTATCAAAGCATTATTTTCTTTTAATTTTTTAAATGATCTTTAAGTGGTTGTACAAGGAAGTTCCCATTCTACAAAACAGTATATGAGTACAAAGTGTCTGATAACATTGTCACCCATGGCTCCTCACTTTTCTTTTCTCCTTTTTTAAAAATTGATATAAGGTGATTACATAATTTCACGTATTTCACAGTATTGTGGAATAGTGATAGTTAAAGTCACAAACCCATTTTAACCTTCACAAGGGAAATCGTCATTATCATGGTCTATAAAGTTTGTGAATTCTATGAGTGTATCAAGCATTATTTTCCTTTTCATAAAAACATCCTTGTCTAATAATAACTCACATCAACTTCTCCTTACTGAAAACTAAGCAATTACATTTGTAGAGAGGATGAATAAAGGTGTATTAAAGTACTCATTTTTTAGGTTCCTGAGTGTATCGTAAGTCCCTATTTTCTATAGTTGAACTTTCTGTGGTTTCACCTACTATACTTAACAGCAGTCAAAAAATATCAAGTGGAAAATTTCAACTATAAACAAGTTTTAAATTGAGCATCATTCTGTATATTATGATAAATCTTGCACTATCCTGCTAGGATGTGAATATCCTTTTGGTGAGTGTATCCATGAAGCATCTATACCATCATGTAGCAGTCATCTCACTTCTGAGGAAGATTGCTCTGACTGTGGTTCTTTGGTTTGTTACCTTGTTTTATTTAACAGTGGCTCCCAAACCAAACTTTTATACAGTATATATATTGCTAGTCCTGGAGCTCAAAGTCTGGGCTGGGTGCTGTCCCTGAGCTCCTTTATGCTCAAAGCTAGCACTCTACCATTTGAGCCACAGTGCCACTTCCAACTTTTTCTGTGATTAGTTGGAGGTAAGAGTCACACAGACCTTCCTGCCCAGACTGGCTTTGAACTGTGATCCTCAGATCTTAGCCTCTTGAGTAGCCAGAATATAGACATGAACCATCGGCACCCGGCTCAGTATATGTTTTGGTAATTGTTTTCACTTACAAACTGTCATAAAGGTGTATGTGTAAGACAAATATGGTATAGCAGATTCAGAGCTCAATACCAGCTGTGGTTTTAAGCATATGCTTGGTATCTTAGAATGAAACTTTGATAGGTAAGACAACTTATGTGGCTTGCTGCCATTAATGGTTTGTTCAATTTGTTCAGAGGAAATTATTAGATGAAAAAGTAATTTATAGCCACTGGGTGCCAGTGGTTCAGGCCTGTAACCCTAACTACTTAGGAGGCTGAGATCTGAGGATTGCAGTTTGAAGCCAGCCAGAGAAGAATCTCCGAGATTCTTACCACCAATTACTACCAAAGAACCAAAAGTAGAGCTGTTGTTGTTCAAAAGGTAGAATGCCAGCCTTTAGCATAAAAGCTAAGGTACAGTGACCAGACCCAAGTTCAAGTTCCAATATTGGCACACACACACAAAAGTAATATGCAATCATACATTTTGCGTCTAACATTAATACGAACAGTGCTCCAAAAGCCAAAATTAATTACCATAATATTTCTAATTTTCTATAGCACCTTTTATTTAACATAGAAGCACAAGTAATAAAAATAATGATATGGTTCTATCTTTAATTCAAAAGGATAATAACTTGCTTAACTCATTAAAATTAACACCACTTTTTGAAAACAAGAACACACAAACAGAAATCTGGCATTTTTTCCTTGATATTACTAAAACAATATTTAATATTTTCCTTTAAAATATTATTATTATTATTATTGATACTGAGGTTTGATCTCAGTGTCTTGTATTTGCCAGACTAGAGTTCTCCCATTGAACCAGGATGCCCGCACAAAAATTATATTTAATGTTATTTTAATTAGCATCAATTAGTTGTACAAGGAGGTTTTCTTTCTAAAATGTCCCTTCAGGGGTTGGGAAGGTGGCTCAGTGGTAGAGCGCTTGCCTTGCATGCATGAGACCCTGGGTTCGATTCCTCAGCACCACATAAGCAAAAAGAAAAAAGCCGGGAGTGGCACTGTGGCTCAAGTGGTAGAATGCTAACCTTGAGCTGAAGAGCTGAGGGACAGCGCCCAGGCCCAGAGTTCAGGCCCTACAACTGGACCCACTTAAAAAAATAAATAAAATAAAATAAAATGTCCCTTCATGCATACAATGCATCTTGATCAGAGTCCAACCTCTGTTTTCATGTATGTACATCAAATACATTGACTATATTTGTCTTTTTCACCCTCTCTGCCAAGGGGTGTCCTATGGAAATTGCTGCTTAAGATCTGATATCCACCAGTTAGACCCATTTGCCCGCTTGAGCTCTTCTAGCCCTTTTCGACATGGTTCATTCTCTTGAGAGTTATGAGGAATTTTCAAGCTGTATATGTGAGGAAAGCTGACAGTTGCCTGATCACATGGCCAGGCTGGCATCTCTTCTCATTCTTATTGGGGTTGTGAAATGTAGGGCTGTAGGATCCCCAAGGCTTTTATGACAGACCACACCTAAAGTCTCTTATGATCCACTTAAGACAGTCTCTACCTTGGTGCTCTTCTTAAAAAATTAATGTGAAAGCCGGGCGCTGGTGGCTCACGCCTATATTCCTAGCTATTCAGGAGGCTGTGATCTGAGGATCACAGTTCAAAGCCAGCCCAGGCAGGAAAGAGCATGAAACTCTTATCTCCAATAAACCACCAGAAAACTGGAAGTGGCACTGTAGCTCAAGTAGTAGAGCACTAGCCTTGAGCTGAAGAGCTGAGGGACAGCGCCCAGGCCCAGAGTTCAAACCCCACGACCAACCAAAAAAAAAAAAAATTAATGTGAAAAACTGTTAGCCTTAGAATGGACCAGAGGCACATTCTTAGAGATCTTAGAGCCAAGCCCCTTGTTCAAACTTAGTCCCAGCAGCTGAGTGGATGCCAGGCATCTGGAGTCACATAGGCGAGGTCTCCTGGATCATGTGGGCCAAATAACACTCAACTGGAGCCCTGGCACTCCAGGCAGCTGCCATGAACTTCTTTAGAAAGGATGTATCTTCTCTGTCTTTCTGAACCTCTTTCTTGATCAGGTATATTTTATATTGTGAATTTATTGCAAGGAAGAGATATGATAGAAGAGCTTATATAAGAAATGGTCAGGTAGATAGAGACCTTTCAGGAGAGAAATAAATGCAAATGGATAGTCAGGTGGCTATCATGTAGAGACTGAGGTAGTATGAATAATGGCTTCTCACAATATACATGTCATAATTGCAGGAGGACAATTACTATGATCTGTTTTATCACAGTGGGCACAATGTAATAAAAATCACCATTATAATGGACAAGTAATGTAAACATAGAAGCAGAGAGACCTGAAGGTGCTGCCACATTTGAATATTAAAGCATCCCAAACTCCAGAAATGCAGCCTTAAATATTGGAAATGGGATAAAGAAGAGATACACCAACAGCCCTAATAGTTATGGCCACAAAATGTCCTGTGCTTGTTCTGAGACCCATATTAAAATTTTGATCTTTAAAACCACAAAAGACTATATTTCTGTCACAAACATGATTGTAATTTATTATAAAGCAGTTAATACTTCCGATACATAAGTAGATAAGCTCAGCTCAGATAAGCAGCAGAAAGGGAAACCTTATGTTCAGGTGCAGATAGGTCTGAGGACAGTCAGGTGATTAGGGATTATGTGAATAATGTTAAGCAGGTAGACAGAAGAAAGACAGGCAGGCAGTTAGGGATCCTGGAAAATGGTAGGAAAGGAAAGGGAAGCCAAGCAGAAGAGCTGCAAGCAAGTCCACAGGATATCAAGCAGGATGGAAGAAGGGCAAGTGGGGAGACAAAGCAGGACATAGATAGATAGGCTATGGATAGGACCTGGTAACAAGAAGGCAATGCAGGCAGAAAGTTGACAGAACTTCTTGTCCCCTGTAGAATTAGCTGAGTTTCCTAAGACGAAGGTAGATCCCATTCTTGGACTTCAACACAAGTCGAGGGATGAGGATGGGGACCCTGGTGGGATCTGGCAGCAGCTCAAAGCGGAGCAGGGTCAGAGCCACGGCCACCTTCATCTCATTCATGGCAAATTGTTTCCCAATGCAGTTCCTGGGCCAGGGAGAGACAATGAAAGGAGATGGGGGTCTCAGAACCTGTTCTGAGCTGGTCAGACATGGGCTCCTGAATCTCCACCTAGAGTTGGACATTCAGAGTCCTCTTTCCTGAGCCTGACTTCATCCGTCTCCTTACAGATCTCTCTCTCTCTCTGTCTCTCTGTCTCTCTCTCTCTCTCTCTCTCTCTCTCTCTCTCTCACACACACACACACACACACACACACACACACACACACACACACACACACTTCTATCCCCAAGCTTTCATTCATACTCTCTTGACTTGCCACATCTTTTTGAAGAGTTCAGTTTGAATCCTACTCTGATAGACACGAAGACTGTTAGGCTAGAGATAGTCTCGAACTGGTAGAATCTATTACTATTTGTTATTTTAGAGTGAAGTAATTGTTACTTCACTCCTTCTCCTACAGTTGTTTGGTTCCCCCATGTAGATGCTACTGGTCAATAACATGATCCAGTGCTTACATTCTGTGTGAGCAAAGGACTTAGGATCCATCCCTACAGAGCACTCATACAAGAGTAGAGTAGCTCATGAAAGAGGCTCAGGATCAAAAATTCTCCAGCTGCAGATGATCTGATTCTCCCTGCCTCCCTCAGTCCACCAGCATCCAAACCCAAAGCTATCTAATTCTGCTCCAGAAATATCTCCTCTTGTCACTGTCAATTTCTTCTCCCAGATTGCTCTGGTCTCCATAACCACCTTCCCTCCACATTGACATTCCCATGCCATCCATTACAAAAGATAGTGTTCCACCCTCTCTGGACTGCTGCCTCCACACACCCCATCTTACCTTCCCAGGCCCACTTCCTACCACATCTCATGTTGAAGTCATTGATAAAAGACTCCCTCCACCTCTGCCTGCACATTATAAAGGCTCAAGCCAATGACTATCTGGCCCTCACCCTTCTGCCACTTGTTCCTCCCCCTCTGCGACACCCACGGCTCCATCCTTTATTCAAAGACTGTGCATAGTGCCCGATTATGGGATGTTCCACAAGAAGCTCATGAATGAATGAGTGTGAAGGAATGAAGGAATGAGGTCTGTCTTGCACACAGGTTTATAGTTCTGAATAACTTGCTGTACTTGTCCCTGAGTCAAGGACAGAAGCATACATCTCTGTATTCCTTCCCCTTAGCATAGCACAGAGAAACATACTTTGAATATAAATCATACTAATTCACCTGTAATTAAATTCATGTAGTTAAATTTCAAAAATAAAAGAAAACAAAATACCTGGATTGTACATATTTCTAGCTAAAAATTGAGATACTTAGTCTTCTCTTCTCCTCCGATGGCTCTATCACCTGTGTAACTAATTTCTAGAAATCTGCCTTCCACCAAACAGTAAGCTTAAAGGCCTGTTCTCTGAAAATGGATTAGCCTTATAAAATTCATCAATTAACTGGATGCTGGTGGCTGACATCTATAATCCTAGCTAGTGAGGAGACTGAGATCTGAGGGTCACAGGTGGAATCTAGAGACTGTTATCTCCAATTAACACCCTGACAACTGGACTTCCAGCTGTGGCTTAAAGTGGTAGAGCACCAACCTTGAAAATAAGAGATCAGGGACAGTACACAGGCCCTGAGTTCTAGCCACATAACCAAGAAAAAATATTTTTTACAGAAATATTAACTCAAGAAAGGCTCCCTTCTCTTAGTTAGTTGTAAGACTGATTTCAACCCATATTCCACAGGACAAGTCTTGCAAACATTGTGCACTTTTACAGCAGCTTTCACTGAGCATGGCCGCCCATATCAACAGCACTTTCAGACCAATTTATCATAGTGCACACCAGAGTAGTTTACATGTCATAACTGAATAGTGATTTTTCTTTCAGAGACTATTGTCCTCATTCTTTCTCCCCCAGTCTTGCACTAATTAGTTTACAACATAATGATGTAGAAATACTTCTCTAAAGTCAGACTTTCACTAAAGCCCAAAATGTGTGAGACAACACTGCCTGGTATTCAATAAATATCCTCTGTGGTGAGCTGCAAACTTTCACATACATGACTTCAACAGTAGGCCTTCTGATTGTACACCTATGAAAATTTTCAATGACTCACTGTAGTGGCCAACCTGAGAATTAAGTAGGAAGGTGATATACTACATTGAGATAATGGAAAAGACACACATCTACTTTATGATATCTGACAACAAAGGAAAAGCAACACCCAAGGGTCAGTTTACATGACAAAATAGAATTTTGAAAATGCATGCTCCAAGAATGGAAAAGTGCTACACTACAGTGAAATTTGGAGCAAACATTGACAAAATGTTTTGTCTGGTCATTGGAAAAGGCAGTGGGTCAAGGTCCCTATGGGCTCAGATATAACTACAACCATTAACCAGGAAAGGCACAGTTGAAGATGGCAAACAGAAAACTGCAGAATTATGAGCACCAGGCAGGTGCCAGGACACTCGCCTTTTCTCACACCAATCACCCTGTGAGCAGCTTCTCACCTGGATCCTCCAGAGAAGGGTAGGAATGAGTGGCTGTGGCGGGAAGAATCTGGGGCAAACCGGAAAGGGTCAAACACCTGCAGAGACAATACCAGGACCCAGAAACAGAGGAGTCAAGCCCTGCTTCCAACCTAGGAAGGGACAGCATGCCTAGATGTGGGATTGATGGGAGGTATAAGGCCTAGATGTCAGTTTCCCTCCCTCCTTTCTTCCCAGGACCCTCATACCTCTGGATTGGGCCACACCTTCGGGTTATGATGAAGGGAATAAAATGAGAGTGTAACTATGACACCTGTGGGATGGGGGGGGGGGAGACAGAAAAGAATATTAATGCCAGTGGGGTAGATGTCTGTCCCTCATTCAGCAGAGGCCACGTATACACAAATGGCATGGGTGACAAATAGAATCACTCTGAGCAGAATTATAGCATTAATGGGAGGTGGATAGCCTCAGAGATGGTGTTTGGAACAGCACCTAGTACGGCTTAGGAGAGAAAACCATGACACAGACAAGAAATCAAGAAGTATTGAGGCTCAGTGCTAATAGGAAATGAAGTGACAAATCACACTAACCAAGAATCTTTCGTGAGACTTAGAGAACATGCATTGAACCATTCAAGCATTAGAACTAGACCTCTGTAATAAACTGCTTCCATTTTGTTCCCTTCAGTTTCTGTTGTCTTTCCCTTTAACTATACTGAGGTTCCTGCCTTGCAGAAAGGGTTGCTATCACACCAAGTCCTCCAACTGGATTTAAGGACTGTGGACACTGTGTCCTTATTCTCATCACTGTCCCCAGGGACACTTCCTTACCTGTGCTTGTAACTTTGATTTCACCTCGTCCCGGCAGACAGGTTCCTTTTTTCTCTCTTGCTCTCATTCTCTGTGCTTTGTAGCTGTCCATTCACCTATTTCATGGTTTTCTAAGCTATTCCTACTTTTCTCACTTGAAAATATGGTCTATTCATGGAACCACAGGAGGACCTAATAATCCACACTCTTAGACTGGAATATACACAGCCTGACATCTACTTGATGACAAAAGATGAGATTCCAGAGTCTGAACAAGATCTATTATCTATCCTGTGTTTTCACAGCTTCAACGTAGCAGCAGTGAGTTCATACCGGGTGTGGAATGAGTTAGTGGATGTTTTCCTACTATGGAATAAGTCTCAGAACCAGACATCATCTGCTTTTCTATCAACTGGAAAGGTCCTTGGACATTATACATTTCACCTTTAACATAGGATGCTTGAACTTCACCGATTTACCTTCACCTATGGAAGGAACCATAGCACTTAGCCAGTCTCCATGTCTCTGTCTATCTTAAAATGCACAGTAGTGAGAATTGGAGGAAAAGTGGTTTTGAGATTTTGTTAAGGTTCAATTGTGCTAGACATTTGCATTTCTCTCATTCTAATTTCAAAGTAAGAATCCAAATTACTTGCGAGGAAAGGGAGACTCGCTGGGTTGCAAACTGTGGAAGCATATATGTATTTCTGTTCCATCCTTGCTCTGAGGAGTGCTTGGTGGATGAGGGTGGGAAGCTCATACCTTTGGGTAGGGAGCGTCCATCTGGAAAGGTGACAGGTTTGCTCAGTTCTCTGCTCACCAGGGGTACTGGTGTATAGAGTCTCAGGGCCTCCTTAATGCACATGGTGGTGTAGGCCATCTTGTCAAGGATTTCCCTGAAATGAAGCCCATCTTCAAGGTCAGGTAGGGCCTGAGAAGACTAGGGTTTGCCCCAGTAGGGTGGTAGGGTTTTCCTCACATTGAGCTCTCACTCACCAGGTGACAGAGGCTCCATCTCCCAGAAGACTCTGGACCTCCTCCCTGCACTTCTGCTGGTGTTCAGGGTGTGTGGCCAGAGTGTACAAGATCCAGGAGATGCCACTGGCTGTGGTGTCATGGCCCTCGAACATGAACGTGTCCACTTCGGCCCGCAGGTCCTTTTCAGACAAGCTGCTTCCGTCCTCCATCTAGGGGTGTTATGGTCAAGAGGGAAAATTTTCCCTCAGGCTGCGTTTCTCCACAAAGCCTCAGGTCTTTGCACAAGCACTCACTTTGGCAAACAGTAGGATATCCAAGAAGTCTAAGCGCCTTTTCATCTTGACCTTTTCCAGCTCTCCCTCATCTTGCAGCTGAGCCTTCCTCTGGTTGATCACCTTGTCTGTTCCAGGACAACAGTTACCAGGCAGGCACAGTCAAATGTTACAGCACCTCCCAATAGCCTTCCCTTTCCCCAGTCTGGGTTCTCTGGAGGAAACAGGGTGCATTTGGGGGTGGCTATGTGGGTCAGGGCTGGAAGTCTAGCACATCAACTGTGGGGAGCAAAGAACATAGAAGCCCTGATGAAAACTGCTAGGAAGAGTGTTATTTAATATCACAGTACTAAGCACTGGTAATTCCTGTATGGTACCTGATATCCTGACCTCTCAGTGTCTATAACTTATACCGGCATAGTACTCTGCAAGAGTGTGTCTCTAGCTCAACAGAGGTATCTATGTGTGAGAGCCATGACTGTAATTTGGGTTAAGTCTGATAAAGGAAGAGAGATTGGAGGGACAGACAGAACCTGTATGCTCGTGGGCAAGCTGGCAGGCATGATGGTATGTGCGGCCATTAGAAGTCAGCCTGTAGATGACATCATTCTGGTGAAAGACATTCCTCAATCGGGCAAAAACCAGGTTGTTCAGATCCCTGATAGCCTGGATGTAGGACTTGGATTTCCTGAGAAACAGAAGGCACAACACACTGGGGTTTGGGAAATCTCACACACAGAGTGAGCTTACTGTAGAGAGTCCCACAATAATGGGAACAGACAACCCTGAGAAATATCTAAGTTCTATTTTAAGGGCCTGATGGCAATGCTGTGAGCATCCCGTTTACCACTTGTGTTGGAGATTAGTGCTGTATGTCTGGGCAGGAATAGGTCAGGTCAGGAATTTGAAGTTCCCCTGAGTTTTGGATCCCAGTCGTGGTTTTGTTTGTTTTGCTTTGCTTTTTGAGGTGAGCATTGAAGCTTTCCCATTTGCCTCTCAGTTGAGTAAGTTCCCTTCAGCTAGTAAGAACAAAGACCCTGCAAATGAATGTCACTGACCTGTCCACCTGGACACACTCTTGTTGGCCAAAGGCACACTTCATTATGGTATCCAGAGTCATCAAGGACATGTGTTCAAAGATCTCCAGAGAGTTGTCCTGGATGCTGAGCTTCTCCCATTGGTCCTGTGATGGAGGGTGACATTGACAGTCTCATTTCCCACTGGAATATCTATGCTAAATAGACCAGGTTCCTTTCCTGTGTTTCCATCTATCTTGTTTCAAGTCCTTGGCTCAGATGCCCTTGTAGAAAATTAAGTGTGTGGAGTAATACTTGTAGTCTGCCTATCTGTCACAAAATGTTATTACAAACTTGAACATAGATACATCTGGTCACACTTTGAATTTTGAGAATAACTGTCACTTTTTGTCGGTTGATGAAAAAGTCCACAGTGTAAATACCCTTCTGTTTCCTGAAAATTTTGTGGAGTAGACTTGAAAATTGGTAGAACCCCAAATATGAAAACACTATTTAACATGGGAAAGAAAGCCTGCTTGGCCTGCAGGAGCAATCCTATTGTTGGCTGTCTTGGACTCCAATTTTTTCATTCATCATAATCTTACAGAACACTGCCAGGTTGGAAGTGACTCTGAGGTAGATTTGTCTGTGGCAATGTAGACCTTGTGTCCATCTCAATGTATGGGTCAGCATGGCCATTCAGAAGCTCTGGGGCCCTGATGATTGAGTGACACCCTTGAAGCTCCCAATGCCACTGATGCGGTCATTTCCCAGTCCAGCAGGGACAGGTAGCTTGCTTTTGGTGGGAGTTTCTATTCCCCCACTTTGCTGAGCTGAGAAGGAAGGAGAGGGGCCTGTATCTACTGTGATACCTTCTGAGTAGGACAATGAACAATTTGGCTCAGTCTTGGGTCCTGGATGCTTTCTGTTGCACTTATTACAGAGGAACTGATTCTTACTGCAATTGGCTTGATAGTGTTAATTTCTGTGATTATGTCTGATGGTTTCTGTGTTAGAGAATGGAATATGAGTGAGTGGGGGAGGGCGGTCGGTCATGGGGCTTCAGCTCTGGGCTTGGGCCCTGTCCCTGGGCTCTTCAGCTCAAGGCGAGTGCTCTACCCCTTGAACCACAGTGCCACTTTCGGTTTTCTAGTCGTTTATTGGAGATAAGAGTCTCACAGACTTTCCTGCCTGGGCTGGCCTTGAACCTCGATGCTCAGATCTCAGCCTCCTGAGTAGTTAGGATTACAGGTGTGAGCCATAGGTGCCCAGCTTTATGAGTGTGTTTTGTGAGTAGGTGTGTGGACATGAAAGAGACAGACTCACCAGCATTACTTGAACGGAGTCCACCATGATTCCCACATAGGGCTTCAGGATGTCATAGTGGAAAGCTGGAGTCAACATCCGCCGGTGCTGGAACCATGTCTGTCCATTCAGCAGGAGCAAACCATAGCCTGGACAGAAGATGGATATGGGCTTGAGTGTGTGAGAAAGGGAAGCGGAGTAGCAACAGGGTGATATGAGAGAAATAGATTGTGAGCGTGCTGGCGGTGGATCAGGAAGACAGAAATTCCTGGGTAAAGGAAATAAGCAGCACCTTTCAGAAATGTGAATCTTCCAGTTGTACTTGTATATCTGATATGATTAAAACAGTTGTCGGATACAGGTTGGGGACACTTGAGGGCAGATCAGGGGGGAGCCTTCACTAAATATGAGGCTGAGCACGGTTAGGAGTCACTGGGAAGAAGTGTAGAAGGATGCTGAGCCTCATGCCAGAAGTAGTTGTTTTTTTAAAGTAAAGGTCAAGGTAGAAGTATTAAAATGGAATTTTTATTTAAGGATTGGTCTTGACAGTGATAATCTTTTGTTCTCAGTAAGGTCAACTGATAGTACTTGGTTAACCTGAGGAGTGACCATAGCTCTAGTTAAGATATACTTACCAATCCATGGAGCCACAAATTTATAGGTATCATGAGCTTTCGGGTCTGAAAAGTAAGTGAGAGTTATTCATTGGAAACGAGGGAAAATAATAGGATTAGAGGCACTGATGTTCTGACCAGGGACAGACATATTTTTTGTCTGCATGTATTTTCTTCTTTTTTTGCAAACTAGAGTATGTAAATTGTACAAGTGTGGTTTCATTGGGACATTTCTAAGAATTCATTCACTATATCCTTATCAAATTCACCCTCTCTCATTCTCTCTCTGACCTCTTTTTCCCTTCTTAAAACAAAATGTTTTTTATTCTACTTTCAAATAGCAAAATAAGTACTTTAACCCTATTCATCCTCATTCACCATCTTTGATATCTTCCCTAGTCCTACTGGTGTCTACCTTCAGAGTCTGTTTTACTCCCCTGTCATTCTTTTATTTTTAGTGTATATTAATTGTACCAACCGGTTTTACCATAATATTTCAGACATGCATATGCTTTGTTTTGCTCTGAAAAACCCTCTCTTCTCTGTTTTTTCATTGCAATCCTTTATTAATAACTTTCATTGAGATTTCTTGTACTCTCTACATACACATTGATAATGCATTCCAAAAATTTTCTCCCCCCACCTCCATTAGATTCCAAGATATGACATTTTTATTGTTTTCAGTTGACAGCTTGCATTTCCCATGTTACTTTCCATTGCCCACCTAACGTCCTCTGTCTCTGTCATGATAGTCAGCTAGACTCAAGAAGACTGGCCTCATGTTCCAGATGCAAGATACTCTCAAAAATGGGATGGTAAGTTGGTAAGAAACATAAGCCATGTCTTCAATGCTAAAGAATAAAAAAGATTTTTGAGGCTTTTCTACAGTGGGTGGTGAGGTTGTCATTCATGACCCAGGTCAATGACAATTAGAATTTACACACCCAAGTCAATGTGGATATGTTTGTTTCTCTTATATGAGGCAATCTACATAATTGGTTACCTTAATCTAGTTCATTTAGTTAAAAAAGATAAAGACAACAGTTGAGCCCCATTGCTATTTAACTGTATAAATTGTAAGCACATAAGTAAATACTGTGTGCTATATGCTAGATTGTGGCTTCAAGAAAATAATGATAGGCAGTTATTTAGACACAGCTAGCTGAACTGCTATTTCTTTCTGTACTTTCACAGATTCAGGGTATGTGTTAAGAGTGGAAGATCTATGGTTGGTGGGAAGGGCTTAACTCTCACCTGATCTCCCCAGAATCACCTTCATATAGTCGGGGTCATAGACTACTAAGCGTGCTTTGCTTCCCCAGAGCCACAGTGGGCAGGCACTTGGAAATTTCTCAACTCTTGAGAGAATCTCTTGCAGCTCCTGATCATTTTTGACCTGACATCATTAAAAAAATGAATGCTTAAAAGCAATATTATAGTAGTCACAGGGACAAGTTCTGAATATTTCAGTGAAGTCTAGAATTTGGGGCAGAAACCATCTAGAAGGCTGATTCTTGGATAACAGCTGAGGCTGGGTGCTTAGTGCTAAGAGGAGGAAAGTCTGGAAGGAACATCTACAGACTTCCAGGTGAAAGGATGCCAGGACAAGCCAGGCGCCGGTGGCTCACACCTGTAATCCTAGCTACTCAGGAGGCTGAGATCTGAGGATCAGGGTTCAAAGCCAGCCCAGGCAGGAAAGTCCATGAACTCTTATCTCCAATAAACCACCAGAAAACAGGAAGTGGCGCTGTAGCTCAAGTGGTAGAGTACTAGCCTTGAGCTGAAGAGCTGAGGGACAGCACCCAAGCCCAGAGTTCAAGCCCCCCCACCACCAACAACAACAACAAAAAAGGATGCCAGAACAGACATCAGACCTGCTTAAGGAAGATATAGTGGCTAGAGCTGAGTAATAGCAGAGCAGCCTCCCTGTGAGGGAATGAGCTCCCCGTTACTGGATAAGCACAGGTGGAGAGCTATATTGTCACTTGAAGGCTTGGTGTTTTGTTCCCTGGTTTGTTGACTAGTCTCTGAGAGCCCTGGCCTCCCAGCTCTTTCACTCACCTTCACTCTCCTTCTTACCTTGTGCCCAAAGAACCAGTGGGAGGGTGGACTTGGGAACTGCTGGAAGGCTTTGAGCAGCCACTGCCTTTGCAGATAGAATTGAAGTGCCTTGAACAGCAGCAGAAGCAGGCTGAGCAGCGAGGCCACTTGGAGGAGCCCAAAGAGGCTGCCCAGGAGCCTGGTGTGGCTCAGTGCAGAGTCACTCATGGTGCACAAGCTTCTGGATCACTGCTGCTCCTCACTGTGACTGAATCCCCAAATCTTCCTGGGACGATTGCTCCACCTCCCTATGGGAGGAGAAAGAGGAGCATAGCTTGACCTCAGAGTCTAGAGTTGATTAACCAGGAAGCCCCATCTTGAGAAATAATGAGATCAAAGCATTATGGGGGGTGGGTGGAGGGACAGGAAAGTAGGAGAAAATTTAGGGAAGGGATAACAAGGTTGACAAAAAATGTACTCATTACCTTACTTGTGTAACTGAAACCCCTCTGTACAGCACCTTAATAATAAAAAAGAAAAAGAAAGCATTAACAGATGGCAATAGTGGATGGTCATTCTCCACACCTTAGGTTGTTGAAAATGTTTATTGAAAACCTACTCTGTGCTAGGCAGTATCATTAATGGAACAGATTTTAAAAATACATGACTTGATGGCAATGAATTCATAGTCTAATTTACCAAAAATTTAACAAGCCTTCTGTGCAAGTGTTAGCACTATGATTTTAGGCATGAGAATCTTTTTGCAAAGAGGTAAATTGACATGTTAATTGGGAAATAGTCACTGGAAGTGTGTGGAGGAATTAAAATATTTTCCTACTGGGCTCCAAAATTGCCTCCTCCAGCTGTCTTTAAAATGTTCTTTCTGGGCTGGGAACGTGGCTCACTGGTAGAGAGCTTGCCTTGCGTGTATGAGGCCCTGGGTTTGATTCCTCAGCACCACATAAGCAAAAAGAAAAAAGCCGGATGTGGCGCTGTGTCTCAAGTGGTAGAGCGCTAGCCTTGAGCTGAATTGCTGAGGAACAGCGCCCAGGCCCAGAGTTCTGGCCCCACAACCAGACCCAAAAACAAAAAACAAAAAATGAAATAAATAAAATAAAATAAAATGTTCTTTCTGAGTCCTCATATCATTCCTCAGTTAAGATCTGGCTGGTGGATGGAACCCAGGACTTTGATTCCAAAGGCTCAAGGCCCAGATCAAATCACTACATACGTAATCTGGAACTCACCCTCTCTGATCTCAGTGTCTTCTTTATAAGTCTGGATAATAATCTCTTTCTGATATACCTGCCTACAGGACAGCCTATTCTTTCAGTCATTCCACAAATTCAATGAAAATTTCTTGACCTCACAGACTAATGGTGAAAGGCAGATGATTAAGCCAGTACATTCAATATGCTGTACTGGAGGAATGACATTTTTATGAAAGGAGGAAACTAAAACAGAAAGAATGGAGTCTTTAAGCATGAATAGTTCACCCAGATGGAATGTTCTAGGTGATGGGATAGTAATCAAAAAGGAAGGGTAGAACATATTCATTTACAATATCTTCATCCCTTGTTTCCTATTATCATGAATAATGGCACAAATGAGCTCCATTGCAAATTCACCCCATTTATATTACTCTTTCTCAGTGTGTGTGGGTGGGACAGACCTAGGGATTGAACTCAAAGCCTTGTGCTCCTGAGGCAGATTCTTTACCACTTGAGCCAAGCTTCCACTCCCTTTGGAAAGCTTTGGTTATTTTTGAGGTAAGGTTTCACTTTATTCCCTGGCTTCCTCCTAGTTGTGCTTCTTCTTATCACTGGAGATGACAGGCAGGTGCCACTGGCCCAGTCACTGTACTTCCGTATCTGGGATAGTTGAGTGCACATCACTGTCACTGACTGAGATGGAGCATAATAAGCTTTTTAGGAGGTGGTGGTGGAATACTTTTTGGAGAGGGAGAAATACTTACGTCTTTAAATACATTGTTTATGCCTCTCTGGCTCTGAGATCCTCTGATTGCCCTCTTACTACCACCCTCTTCCTTTTAAACCACCTTTTGTGGGTCTCAGACTATTTTCTTATCAGCCTTGCTTTTTCATGACTCTTGAAGATAAAATTCAATACAGAATTCAAAGAGTAAAATACAAAAGTTATTTCATGGAGAATCCCTTAAAAACCTACTTTTCCAAAATCTAGGAATTTGTACCAGTGCCATCCAAATGCTTTTGCTCAGCACACTCTTTTGTTTGCTACATATTGATATGTAATTTATTAGTCAGTTCACAGGGGCAAAGTTCTTTTCTTTCTTGTCTGAATCCTGAGCCTGGTGAGATCCCAAGGACAGAGGGCCATGCAATTATTTATACCTGTTGTGTTCAATTTGACAGGCTTCCTGAGGTTATTTTCTATCCCAAGTTCTTTATAGTTGTGCTTATAATCACTAACAAGTAGTAAATACTCTATCTTCAGAGCAGTGATCAAATTTTATCTGATATCTCTCACAAGAACATTGTAAAATAGTATAACAAGCAAATCTCAGCAAAGATGGGAAATGTAAGGTAGAAAGATTATTTATCCAAGACCACCCAGCTATCATGAGGTGCATCAAGATTCTAACCCAGACCATCTGCCTTCAGGAAGTTTACTGTTCACGATTACAATGCAGGTAAGGATTTACTTGAGCATCTCGTCTCAACCAAATCCAACTCCCCACCACAACATGGAGTTGTAGCAGCCCACAACCCTCCTTTCTGTTTTATCCAGCCTGAAAGTTGTAGAAAGAAGTGACAAAATACCTTGTCTGTTTGGTGGAAAATATTCTGTCTATGTATTTGAAGTACGAGCTTATGTCAGAAAAAAATTGTATTTAGAACAAAAGATCTACTTTAGAAGTAAACATCTGGGGCTGGGAAGGTGGCTCAGTGGTAGAGCGCTTGCCTTGCATGCCTGAGACCCTGGGTTCAATTCCTCAGCACCACATAAGCAAAAAGAAAAAAGCCGGAAGTGCCGCTGTTGAAAGACCCTAGTCCCTTAGGATACTTTCGTCAACGGGAGGGTGCCCCAGAAACTCAGACTCCAGGCCGGGAGATACAACAAGCAAGAGGAGTTTATTTGGCGGTTGCGCAAACTGACTCTCTGCCTCTGGAAGGGAGAGAGCCCGGAGCAGCGGTTACAGGCATTTTTAAAGGCAAAAACCACAAGATTATCTCATAACACAAAGCGTCCCGTGATTGGTCCATTTAAAGGTCACCATATACACCAACAATCACTTTGCCACGCGGGAAATTTTGTAACACTCTTTGTAAAATGAGTGGGAGGGGGCCTCAAGGGGGGGGATACTTTGGACAATAAGGGTTAGGGGAGTTCACATAGTTACAGACTTGTGATTGGTTGACATTTGGCCTAGTTTGCTGGTCCTGCCAGGTGGTCGTTATCTCAAGGTCCTGTCTGGGGAATTTCTAAATGGGAACTGAGGAACGCGTACTGTCTGTTCTTTATCTAGGACCACTGACCTTGTCCTGGGGCCAACATCTGGGCTCTGAGACTTTTCCCAATTCCTTATTTCCAGGGAGGGGGTTGGTGTTAGCACAAGCAAGTTTACAAAAACAAAATCAGCAGTTAGCAATGGTAAAATATAACTCTAATTTTTAATCTTTCACTGTGGCTCAAGTGGTAGAGCGCTAGCCTTGAGCTGAAGAGCTGAGGGACAGCGCCCAGGCCCAGAGTTCAGGCCCCACTACTGGACCAAAAAAAAAAAAAAGTTTCTAGAAGTAAACATCTTTCCCATCTGCTTGATGTTCTGACACTCACATCAGAGGCTGTTGGAAGATATTTATCTTGAAATCATAATTTTTTATGGTTTCTGTAGCATGGAAGAGAGGCCAGAGTCTATTGATAATGCCTGGTCAAGACATTAATATGGTAAGAGATAGAGGAAGAGAATGAGCAAAACGAGGGATGGCTAGGTATTGTGAGTGAATGCAGTTCCATTGAGTTGCTATATTTTATTTTATTTATTTTTTTGTCAGTTGTGGGGCTTGAACTCTGGGCTTGGGTGCTATCCCTCTGCTCTTCAGCTCAAGGCAAGCACTCTACTGCTTTAGCCACAGCACCACTTCCAGTTTTCTAGTGGTTAATTGGAGATAAGAGTCTCATGGAGTTTTCTGCCCAGGCTGGCTTTGAACCGTGATCCTCTGATCTCAGCCTCCTCAGTAGCTAGGATTATAGGTGTGAGCCACAGGTACCCAGCTGAGGTGTTATATTTCAAGAGGGACATTTATATTTTTTATTCATGCCTGTTTTATAACTCACTTTATTTGGGAAACAAAAGCAGAAATGAGTTTAGTTATTCCCATGACAGCATCTTGTATAGGGTCCTTCTATAGATAGGCATTGCTTGCTTTCTTGGTTTTGATAGTTGAGTTTGATACTAAGGCAATTTTAGATTCCTCATTTACATTTAAATTTCTGCAAAAATCAAATATGTAGGCATTGAGAAACTGAAATATTTGTGGCTTTTGTTGATCATAGAAGAAGGCTGAACATATTTATTTTTGGCATATTTGGTGCTACCACTTCTCTGAATATGGCAGAAGTGGACTGGAGAAAGGGATGATCCCTGGCCTTAACACCCCGCACAGTGTCAGCAAGAAGGACTGTAAAAAGCATTCTCTTTCGTAATTGTCAGAATCAGGCACATCCTATAAAATTCAAGCCCCTCCTTGTTATACCATTTATCTGGTATAATGCTAGCACTATGCTAGATAGGAGACATGCTCTTACCCACGACCTTCCTCCCACTCTTGGGTGGCCTTTTATGAAACACCCTCCAAGAGCTTAAAAACCTCATCTCAATGACTCTCCTGCCCAGAAGGTCGCTCCTGGATGATATCATGGTTTTATCCCAGTCTAGACACTTTGTATTTGTTGTATTTGTTGTTCTTCTCTTCCTCCCCGATCCTGAATGTTCTTCTTTTATTCTACAGAAAACTAGTTCATTAATATCCTTCAGGTTTCACTGTGTTGTCTCCAACAGAAGACTTCCAAGGTTACCCTATCCAAACAAGTTCCTTTGATCCCCATCTTATTTCAATCCAGCATTTGTATTTCAATCCAGTAACAAATTATTGCATGTAATTATTACATTTAATAAGTAAAGGTCGTAGAACTCATAAATGCTATAGACCATGATAGGCAATTTGCTCCATGAAAGTTAGAATGTGTTTGTGACTTTAACTAAGCATCACTATCCCACAATACTGTGAAAT